TTCAGGTGGTATTTGGGAAGGCTGTCCTGGCCCCTGTGCGGAGCTGCTCCCTTCTGCGTTGACCTGCGGTACAGCTGAGCTCAGGTGTCTGTAAAAGCCGCACTTTTGTGTCCTTGTCTTCAGCTGTTCAAAAGTATCTTTAGTATTAAAAATTGAAAACAGATTTAAAGAGTAAATAGCACTTTGCATATGACATGAGGTACATAGGCAATTATTTTAATCTTACTGGTTTTACTCTGCTTCCATAATTGCATAGTCAAACATTTATACAACTGTTGAACTCCATGATAAAATACAAACATGAGGCCACACCCAGGTACCTGCTGTAGATGGCCTGCACCCTCCAGTGGGCTGTGGTCCTGTAAACACCGTAGCCCTTCCGATAAAGGGGCTTTGAACACCTTTGATATTTGAAAAGCAATTCTAAATTGATCCAAACACCCGTTCTCAAAACCACATTTCCCTTGTTACTGAGCAGTGTATGATTGCCCTCATGCAGAAGTGAGAATACTGATTCATTTCCCCTTTTTGAAGCTGAGAATTGACGAAAGGATTTTTAATCAAATGAAAAAAAGTAGAATTACTCAGTAAATAAGCCGTGTGAGTATACAGGGTTGTAATGTTGCGGAGGAAACTTAATAATAGTTCTTATGAGAGCTAGAATCTATTTGTTCTTTTGGTAGGTTTTGTGGGGTTTTTTTGTAAAATTGTATTTTATTTTAAGGTCTGTAACACTTTTCTGTACTGTATGAGATTCAGAAAGTAAAATTGGTCAGTTCCTTATCAGTGTCTTGGAGCCTGTTTAACTTTGTCACACTTCTTTTAGAGAATGTGTTTATAAACAGGTAAACGTAAATTGTAAATGGTAGGGAATCATGGTTTAGAGTTCTTTATGTAGACTTTTGTTTTTCTTTGTGCATTTAATAGCATTTTAGGCTTGATGCAGAACTTACTGGAAGCAGTTTGAGCTCTTACGCTTATTCCCGTATTCTTGGATTGCGCTCTTACAAGTGTTTGTCTTCGCTGCATTTTCCTATCTGGCTTGTTTTTCGGAGAAGTCACAAAACTTGAATGATGCATGGGCAAAACAGTTGCACTTGCAGGGTTTTTAAAAGACTTAGCTACATTTTAAGCTGATGCTACTTTTGTTTTTCATTTCAAACATTTAACTTCTGCTTTGAACAGCATAGATCGTTATACAATATTGAAAATAAAAGTTTTAAATCCTTAACGATTATATATGAGAGGTAGTATGTAGTTTTGTGACTACCTTTAGTATTATACTTGAAGATCAGATACCACCTCTGAAACAATGTTTTCTCCATTTCGCGTGCTGTGTCTAACACTTTCTCTGAACATACCCAGACTCCACACATCACGTCTCAAGAGAGCCCCGTGAAATAAGACATTTCTATTTCACAACCGGGGAAACCAATGCAGCAAGGTCAGGTGCAAGGTTGATAAGAGTGGGGAATGAAGGCTGATGGAAATTCTTACTGCAGTCTTCCAACCTTTAGTTACACTCCTCCTGTGCTCCTTTAATTATTCTACTTGACAAAATTAAGGGGTGGAGGACAAGAAAAGGAATTAATCTATTTACCGTCTGCCTAGACTCTTAAGTGTTATTTTGAAATAAATATCTGGGCTATATCCTTTTATCTCAAAAAGTAATTTTTGTCCCTTTGGAGTTGCTCAAGCCCATGTTAAACACAGCATTGACTTTTAATCTCTGCTGTTTGAAAGTATTTAGTAGCTCATTCACTTTTCTAACAGTACGTTTGTGCTGTAGTTGTGTCTGCCTCTGTAGCTCTGAGGCAGTTAGATCTTTATTATGGGTTTTGGCAGGTGCTGGGGAAAAAAACCAAACAAACAAAAGAAAAAAACCAAACCCCCTTTCCCCCTTCAGCTGTGAATGCTGAATCTCTTCCCACTCCTGAGGCACTAGACACAAAAACCCTAAAAGCCTGACTTGTGAGTATAGTATTACATTGTATTTGTGGGGGTAGTAGCATGAAAAAAAAAAAGCTATTTGTAAATAAGTAACATGAAATTGATTAATTTGGAGTGGCATATGAAATCTTAAACACTTCTAGTATAAGAAAAGTAATTCCTCCTATAAATTGGAATCTGTCTTAAGTGCGTAGTTCAGACATGTCCTCTGCTAAGGTAGGCGTGATTCTCCGTGACCTCTGCAGTCAGGCCTGTGTGTGAGGAAAATAATTGCCTGGTTTATCCCCATCTATCCCTTTCTTCGGTTGTCAGTTACGACAGCCGGACCTGAGGCGGCGGAAGGAGAGGCACGGAATATAGTCCCGATACACTGCAGTAATTTACCGCTTCTTTTGATTTTGATGGTAAATTCCTGCAAAGGCTTCGTGTGTCAGTTTAAAGACACAGATGTCCTGAATCATTTTCAGCTATTTCTTTAGTGTCTTCTGGGCTGTTTAATTCCCTCTCTCGTGTGATGGACTTGAGGGAAAATAGGGAGCAATTTGCATATTTGCTCTAAATTTTTCTTTGCTTTCATACAAAGTTTTACAGTTTTTTTTAATGATCTCTCTACTGGATTCTTGCATTTCTAAATTCAGCATCCTGTTTTTTAACCTGAATATAATTATAAAATGTAGGTGTTTAATTTTCCAGTAACGTGAAGCCATGCTTTTCTAATTTGTTTTATTAGCTTAATAACATACCTGAATTACAGAGTCATAGTCCTCCCTTTTTCTGTGTCTGGGCGGTTGTTCTCTGGGCCAGCAGCAGTGTCACGCTGTCATCTGAACCTGTGATAAAAGCTTCTGCATGGAAGCTGCGCTCTCACTGGGACATTGTGGGGGAGACTTCTGTTGTATGTATGTTTTTAATACGGTAACTAGAAAATTGTCTAAACCCGTTTTCCTTTCCTTGTTTTAGAGTGGAGGCACTTGTGATGCATGTTTATTCATGCTGAAGTTATCTACTGGTTAACTAGCTTATTTTGTTCCTGATGTTGGATGCATTCTATCTAGTGTGGAATGGGATTTATCCCTTACACCCTGTGGAGTAGAGCTGTGCCAGGACTTCACAGTTCTGGCGTGTGGAGGACGAGCCGCTCAAAACGCTCTTCTGAGTGAGCTGCTCCCCCGACCCTCTGGGGAAGAGTCGGTCTGGTATGGGTCAGACGCCCCGAGGTGCTGCGTGGTGCGCTGAGCACTCAGCGCCAGCTGTAAGGCACTGTGTGCGTTTGCAGTTGCAGTGATTGTAAAGGATCTCTTATAGCTGTGATAATAAAGGTTATTTTCTTTTGAATATTTTGATTTGTTCTGTATCCCTATGAATGTGCTTCATGGGATTATTTTTGTGTGGTTTTTATGTTTTCCTGCTTTAAGGAAATGGGATAATCCTCTTACCTTTTTTTTTTTGTAAAAAAAAAAAAAAAAAAAGCCCAAACTCTCTGATATTGAATAAATCTAGCAGCAGCAAAATTTGGAGCTTAATCCACAGGTCTAGACTAAATAGTTGGTTTTAGTGTGGTGAAGGTTGTGTTGGACATCAGTTCAATATCCAAGAAGACTCCAAGGTTAAACTGTATTCTGAGTACACTCTTGCTTTTGTAGGTGCAGTGGGTGGGAATGTAAATGTTCATCTTCTGATGTGTGGCTGTCATGTGATTTTTTTTATTTTTTTTGTTTGTTTCCTGTGCATTTGGAAATCCTGTTTTCCTTTTGGGTTTGCATTTTATTATGAAGCTAAGTTTATGCAAGAGATCAGCGCATGTATTAAATCTCTGCCAGTCAGATGCCGAAAGGTTAGAGTTATTTCAGAGAAAAAACCCGTGGACAGTACAACCCTTGTACCAAGAAAACTGATCTTTTTTGTTTTTCAGTGCATAGTGTCTTTACTTGTAGTTGGTGTTTTTATCATAATAATGTACAGTCTAGTTTTGCAAATCCACTAGCACCCAGTGAAGAACTGTCTGCTGGCAGAGCGCACCAGTGTTGCTGTATAAGCAACATTTTTCCTAACCTATGTAGATGTGCAGGCGTGTGCTTCAGTTTTGAAAGCACTGGGAAAGTTTTATGTTTCACTGTGGATGACTTTTGAATTTGAATTCAGTAAAATTCTCTTTAAAGATAAAACTGCTGAATTCAAGAGCAAAGAGCTATAATTGTTAGGGGGGCGGGGGGAAGAAGTGGAACCTTGACGTGTTTCTTTTTAGGTCTTATTAAATACTCCAGGAAACAGTTTCTACACTATGACTTATACATCATTTTAAATATAAAAATACCTAAATACCTGCTTTGGTGATACCCAGATCACTAACTCCTCAAAAATGATTTGGCTGGTGACAGATGCAGAAAGTTACCTTGATCAAGAGCGATACAGCTATAAAGAGAGGTATCTTAATACATACTGGTAACTTTGAAGTACAAAACAGAGATAAAGCTGTATCTTCAAGTTATTGGTCTAAATAAGACTAGTTTGGCTTAGATTGGTATTTTTCTGACTTAGCATCAGTTTAAGTTGGTCATGCAGGAATTGGTTGGTTTTCAGTTGAAATAATTGACCTGTTCAGTGACTTTATCTGTGTTTAAAACTCTTATATCCAAATCACTATTTTTCTTCAGACAAGTTCTAAGATGCACTTTATTTCTGTGCTTCGCAGAGTTACCAGTTGTCTGTTACCAAAGGCACTGATTTGCATTTGAGATATAAAAACATTTTTAAATGCACTTTTTTAATACTTCTACTTCATTGTTTCTGTAACAATGTTAATAATAAGGCATTTTTCTCTTTTCCTGACATATTAAAAAAAAAAAAAGGGTTGTTTTAGTACCTTGTCTCCAGGAATTTTACTTCTTACAGGTGCAGAATTTTCTTTCTTATTTGTGTGGGTTGTCACCACTAAAACCTCAAGCTTCTTTAATGTTCAAGAAACCCACGCTGACCTTGAAGTGTTTTGAAAAATAAACACGAGCATCTTAATACTGTTATTAACTTACACTTTGCTTGCTTTTCAGGAGCTTGAAGAAATCCGCAAATGTGGAATGAAAAACTTCCGTAATATCCAGGTTGATGAAGCGAATTTATTGACCTGGCAAGGGCTTATTGTTCCTGTGAGTATAGACTACTCCTTATTCTAATGAGCTTTAAAATAGAATGAGGATCGTTTGTAACTCATAAATCCACAGTTTGTAGTGCTGCTGGTGACCATTAGATAATTTTTGCACCCTGACAAGAATCTCTCTTATTATGATAAAACCTGGCTTTCAGAGTTGTGAGTTTGTGCAGAAGCTAGTTGTTTATAAATGTATCGTAAGTTTATAGATTATATTGCAGCATCTTAAACATACTCTGGGCCATGAAGTGTGGTCCTGGGGCTTAGTTCTTGTCTGTCTTCAGACATTTTGTGTAATCTTTGGAAAATAGTGTAATCTTCCTGTCTCATTTTATTTGAGTGTCTTCCGTGTTTTGTTTTATCAAAGTCTGATCATTTTAGTAGGTGGTTTTGGTAACTGAAGAAAAATCCATATGTAATTGAAAGGCATTCTAGACTTTTCTGATCAATACCTGCCTGGATGCTTCATAACTGTAGGCCTGGTCCAACACCAGGCTGCAGCTCCTGAGAGCTGTGCACCCGGTGATGGCACTGGGTTGCTTGGAAGAGGTGTTGGAAGGCAGAAGCAAAGGAAGTTTGTAGTTTATTACATTAAGCTTAAAGTACAAAGTCTACATCATTGTAGAAAAAGAGAACTGAGGTATGAAATATTTTGTTTACTTCTTAATAGATCTATTTTTTTAAATCAACCAGATTTATTTCTAGGATAACATTGAGTATTGGAAGAAGTTTGCAAGGAAAAGGTTTGGATTTTTAGAAAGTGAGCTCTTTAAAAGAAAGTTTGGGCATTAATTAATGCCCCAAAAAAACCCTTCAAATTTTCAAGAGCCCTACAATCTTTTATGAGAATGTTTAATAGAAGTAGATAACCACTGTATTATTCAAATAGAGAGGGATTTGTTACGAAGGGGAAAGCAGGAAATCGAGTATGTTGAATTCCGTGGTTGAAGTCACTCGGATTTTCACCTCCTTTATTTTCCACTGGCTGCCGTGGCCCACGCTCCCTTCCTTATGTGAGCTACTTTTAAGTCTGCAGCAAGAGAGGCTGTGCCAGTAGGGCATCAGTTCTGCTTGTCCTTGGGTGCTACCTAGAAGGTCCCCTGACCAGTGGAAATCTGTCTCTGTTATACGACTTTGAAACATCTCTTTAGCAGTGCCTCTGCTTTGTCAGTGGGAGGCCATTCCCGAATTCAGGTCATACAGGCTGAGATAATGGCTAGGCCTTTGCACTTCAGCTACTGTAGAATACGTTTAGTTTACTCTGTTTACTGATATTCCTGCAAGTAATTCCTTTAAGTGGTTGAGGCTGCTCTTGCAAATAAAGCACGCAGGATTTTACATTAAAATTTGACAGAGCTGAGAAACAATACGCCTTCGGCGTATCAGCCACTCTGATATTTGTGGTTCACGTGTAACAGTTTACTGCTTTGATAATACTTTGAAGCAGTATGAGGTTGGTAAATATGACTAATAAAGCAAACCACCAAAATACTTGTTTATTCCTGTTAAAATTAGCAATATGTGGTGTACAGCATCTATTTTTACCAGTTTCTGATCGCCAGAGTGTGTGTTTTGCAAAGGGTCACAACATCACAAGTGTTTAAACCTTGATGCAGTGAACCGTGCTTCACACCTGCCTTTGGGGTTATAGTACGCCCTGATACAAGGGGAATAGCCTTAAATTCACTGCTGGTATAGTTAAGAGGGAATTTTGTTATGAAATTATACTTCTATGGTAATTAATAAAGTGTTGTGTAGTACGTATGCAAAGAGTAGTATAATTTATTGTTTTGAGGATACTCTCTAGAAGATGCTGTAGTCTTAGCATAATGTTTTTAACTATTGCAATGCTGGAGATGATGGCTTAAAATGTAATATAAAAGCTGGTTGCAAGTTTGGGTTTGGTTTTTTTTTGCTGAGTTTTTGCTTCTGAAGTTTTACATGCTGTTTCCATTTTAGAAAATGTTCTTGCTTAGGGCTTAAAGCCATATTAATCATACTTGAGTAGGACTTACCAGGTACGGATTATTGAACTCTCTAACAGCATTATTTTGGCCAGCTGCTTAATGAAGGTGTTAATGATACGAAGGTTAATATTTTTAACAGTGTTCATACAGATTAACTGTGAAAGCTACTGCTTTAAAAGTTTTTGTTGTATGTAGGATACTTTGCTCTTCAGAATAATTGTTACTTTTTAAGGGTGTTTGCTCAATGGAGAAGCAAACTGAAGACAGCTTGTCAACTTTTTTCCTGTTCTAAATTGTAGAATAAGGTAGTTTATGTACTGTGTGTTGAAAAGGTACACTATTGGCTTGATTTCAACATCAAAGCGAGACTATCTACCCCAGGCTCCTTGTTCTTGTAAGAGGCGCTGTTGGTGTACCATGAATTTCATTTCACTTAATCAAATCTGCTTGCTATGGACAAATTTGCAGAGCAAAAATACTCCAGGTGAATGAGAGTCGTATTTGTCGCTTGTGTTTCAGTATTTGTAATTCTGCTTCTCTCCCTTATCAGTGTCAAAAAACATATAACAAATAATTGGGAATTGATTACTTGAATGTTCTGTGTTTTATTTATTTAAAACATAAGCAACACTTTACATACATTTTTGGTTCAATTTATTGGGGAGTTATAGTGAAGAACTGTTCTGACTGAGAGTCAAGCAGAAGATGAACATTTTTAAGCCAGGTCAGTTCCCGTATCAGTTCACTGAACATCCTCACAAATTGCAGCATGTGACAGAGGCAAGAACAAGTGAGCCATGGGGGGAGAGGGAACCAACTGCTTAAGTTGTCACCACCACCAAAAGTTATTTGTTAAACTTTCACAGTTTTTAGGATTGCTTGGATAAAAAGTGATTTTTAAAGTAATTCTAGTTACCTTTTCCCTTGACTGCAGAAATTGTGCTGTGTTTCTTAGAAACACACAACCAGACTTCTCCATATGGATTAAACTAAAATTAAATGCTTTCTGTTGAATAATATTTTAATAGAACACTGCCCACCCCCAAATATTGGTAAACCTTCTTTAACTTCTGGAGTGGGTTTGATTGCAGGGAGTGGTCTGGTTGCTAATGAAGAATGTGAGTGACTATACTTTACACCAACTGGAAACTCTCATCCTTTGATTCTTGTTCCCAGAGTGTCTGGAAAGGCTTCATGCCACAGTTACTGTTTTCAGTGCAGAACGTTATTTTCTTAAGCTTTAAATGTAGCAATGGTTTATTTTTCTTCCGCTTTTCTTCTGCAGTTAGTATTTGAAGCACTATCAATAGTCTATCATGTTTCCTAAAGGAGATTCTGGGCATTGTTTCTTCTGTTTCAGCATGAAAAACTACTTTGCTTACTTCATGGTTCTCTCATCATGCTCCTTCAAAAATGATCTGATAAGAGTGGGTGCTAAAACTGCATACAAATTCAGAATGTTCTCATCAGCAGACGCAGTGAATATCTATCTTTAGTACCAATGAATGCTCAGCAGATTTTTGTGTAGTCAGCACAAAAACGTTCTCAGAACCTACAGGGAAATCTGACGAATCAAATTGTTTTGCTGTTCGTACCGCCATGTTGTGAGACACGTAAAATAACTAGGTTTAGAGAAACCAATTTTCCTTGTCAGGCTTCCTGTTTGTGTCGCAGAAAGGGTTTACAATGTTTTTTGAACTACAAAGTTGAGAATAAAGCTACTTATTAGATCGGACCTTGAGTTTGGAGTAAATGGGATTGGATGCTTTCTTAACAATAGAAACATCAGCCAACTTCAGAACAATGGTAATCTGCTTTTCCAGGGTGAACACAAAGAGGTTTGATGTTTCCTGACACATAGACATGGCAGTATGTGTCGGAAGAAGGTGCCTTTAAAAGAGGTCATTTGATACATCAAAGTCTGGAGCGTGCTTTTTCTTAATTGCATCCATTAGACTATGCCCAATTCTTGACATTCTGCCTTCTTGTTGCAGGACAATCCTCCGTATGATAAAGGAGCCTTCAGAATCGAAATCAACTTCCCAGCAGAATATCCATTCAAACCTCCTAAGATTACATTTAAAACAAAGATCTATCACCCTAACATCGATGAAAAGGGGCAGGTTTGTCTGCCAGTAATTAGTGCTGAAAACTGGAAGCCAGCAACCAAAACTGACCAAGGTAGGACTCCATGTGGAGAAAGAACTGGGTATCGAGAAGCTCTGTACTGTGTTTCAATGTAAAGCTAACAGCGTTTCACCTTGCCAGCTGGTCACTGGTGTGGTATATTCGTCACTCTTATGGTATATTCGTTGTCGTAAAGTTTGTGTCATGAATCACGTGCTGTGAGCACAGTGTGCAACTCTTTTGGAATCTCATTTTGTTATTAGAAGGTAAGGTAATGACACTGACGCGTGGCATTCCCACCTCCAGGAAACCACAAAACCCTTAGTGACGGAAGAGTTTATTTAAGGTAGTGTCCTCGGCATACTTAAAAATTCTGGTGGTAGTTTGTGTGAGGGTTATTTTGAGTTTTCTTTTAGACAGTGACTTTATAATCCAGAGGTGTTTAGTACCTTTCTGGATGTTTGAAAGAAAGGGTCTAAAACCTCAAGGCTTTCTGTATTTTACAGTCTCTGCAGTGTGGTTCAGTGATTTGAACATACGGTTTGAAGCATCTACAGAGTAATAAACAAAACTTGAAATATTAACACAAATTAACTCTCACTTCTTAGAAGATCACTGTGGTGAGGCTTACTGTGTAGAGTGTCTTTGGATAAGAATTTAAATATTTTAAGGAAAATAGTTTCATCAGGTTCTGTGGTGGACTGTGTGATCCAAGTAGGTTTTTTTTCTGTTGTTGCTTCCATTAGTTGTTGGGGTGAGAACTTCATGTGTTCTGGCAGGTGATGATTAGTTTCATATTAACCACTTATTATTGTACATATAGAAAGAGCAAACATCCTTGCAAAAATTGCATATTTTTCAAGAATAATAATTCAATTGCATATTTTTCAAGAATAATAATTCAAATGAGTAGCAGTTTAGTCCAGTGCAAGAGTTTCAGTGACACTGAAGTGACTTTCTCCTACAGAGCAAGAATTTCATTCTTCCAAACTCCTCGTTAAGGTTGTTTTCACTTGAACTGTGTTCCTGATAGTAAACAAAGCTGTACTTAAGATTTCTTTTTTCTGTGTACTCCTGTACGCTAATAACACTACTTAGTTTGCATGATCTTGCCCCAAAGACAAAATAGAGAAATCCCTGTGGTTGTGTCTGAAAAGATCAAGTGGTTGAATGCTCGGGAAAGCGGAGGGGGCAGCAAAAAGAACCTGTGAAACTCACATAGGTCAGTGCAGTTCTTGTGATTTGTTGTTGTTTTATCCCAGATCATACAGGGCAGA